ACAGACTGGGAGAAAATATTTGTAAAAGACACAATAGATAAAAGACTTCTCCAAAAAATAATTCTTAAAACTCAACAATAAAAAAAAACCGTTTGAAAAATGGACAAAAGACCTGAACAGACCCCTCATCAAAGAAGACATAAGAATAGCAAATAAGCATGGGAAAAGATGCTCAACATCAAATGTCATCAGGGAAATGCAAACAATGAAATACCACTACACATCTATCAGAATGGCCAAAATCCAGAACACTGATACCACCAAATGTTGGTGAGGATGTGGAGCCACAGGAACTCTCATCCATTCCTGGTGGGAATGCAAAATGGTACAGCCATTTTGTAAGGCAGCTTGGTGGTTTCTTACAAAATTAAACACACTCTTAACGTAAGATCTGACAATTGTTCTCCTTGGTATTTACCCAAAGAAATTGAAAATATATGTCTATACAAAAACCTAGCCATGGATGTTTATAATAGTTTTATTCCTAATTTCCAACACTTTCAACCAAGATGTTCTTCAGTAGGTAAATATAGAAATCAACTGTGATACATTCAGACAATGATATGTTATTCGGTGCAAAAAAAAAACCCCCAAAATACATGTATTCTCTTGACCTGTTCATTGGAAGGGGATTCAAGGGTGAATCTAGCACTGTTGGATGCCACCATCCTATCCCTGGGGTGTCTCCCAAATAATTTTTGTTTACCTTGTAGTAAAAACTGTATCTGTATTTAAGTTTATAAATATTGATCAAGTGTTATTTTTTTTTGGTTCAGGCTGTGGGGGGGGGGAAGTTTGAAATAAGATTGTCCGTCTGTTCAGTAACTCCCTATGTTCAGTAACTATTTAACAAAAACTGGATGTTGTCTTTTAGAATGAAGGTTTCTTGGTGATGATATCCTAGGTCATGTGGTTCTGAGAACACATTTAGTTTGATCATTAGAATAAAATATATTCTTAATAAATTCTAATTTTTTCTCTCTGTCTCTGTCTCACTCCATATCTCCCCCACTTAAAAAGTGTTCTTCTAAGAGTAATCCCACTTTCTAGTTCTTCATTCTTCATTCACTTTGACAACCCTCATACTGAGACATTTTCTCAATTAAACATCTCTCCTACCAAGGGTTAAACAGTAATACACTAACAAATATTGGAGAGTAAAAAATCCTTTCAAAGGATTTGACAAGTTCAAAACTATGACAAGTTCAACTGACAAAATCCAATGATTTCAGAATCTATGCCTGCAGTACACTTTTTGTTAACCTTCAAATCACCTTGTTTCCCAAGAGTTATTAAGAAAGACCCGAAATTTATAATTCTTCTATGTGTTTAGAGTGTTAATGAATGCTTCAATACTTTAATGATATATATAGAATTCTTTAAATTCCATTCTAAATGAAAATTATTCTTAAATACTATATTTGTCTTGAGTAACCTCAGCTAATATTAAAATGTGGTTTTACTACATTCTTAGAAAAGAGTTTAAGACATAAACTTAAATTTCTTGTTCTGTGAGAGCTCTCTGATCTCTAACCAGAAAGACTTGTCACATTGTGTTCTTCTAAATAGTGGTCTCTGCCCACTCTTCCCCAAGTAAGCAAAAAACTTACTGCTTCATTTATTTAATTTTGCATTTATTATTCAACAAATATTTATGGAGTCCCTGAAACAGGCCAGTCACTCACCTATATCCTAAATATACAAAGATGTATAATTCAAAATTTCCTTGTCTCCAGAAAATCACATTATAGTCATGGATAGACAAGTAAGCAGAGAGTCTTAATACCCCATTTTGTAACACAGGCATGAAATGCCATCTCTGGGAAACAAAGGAGGAGGCAAAAGCAAAGGAAGGAGTAATCCTGGGAGAGAGAAGTTAACCATGGGGAAGCCCAAGAAAAAGCCCAAGCGAGAAGGCGGGCGTAAGGACAAACCTGAGTCAGGAACTGGTAGGGGTTGATGGGGTGAAACAGGAAAGCTGGATGAGTATTCAACAGAGTCCTAGTGAATCTAGGTGAATGATCTGTTTCTTTGAATCTTCAAACACTTTCTGCAATATTATGTTCCATTTAAAGCACTGTAATCATGGCTGCTAGCCTACATGCAAACACATTCTTCCATGTTCCTGTGAGATATAATTCTACCCCAGCCAAGAGCCTAGCATTCCAGAAACTTACGCCATGATACAGAAATCCAAATTAAATTCATCAACACCATCTGCATAACCAGCTGTTCACCTCCCCTCCCATATTTCCTTCTTTTTTCGTGTAGCGCATGTTCATAGGAAACACGAAATTATGAATGAAAATGTTATTTGCATTTTAAAAGTCCTACATTTCCTAACCCCAAAGTCATTGCTTCTGTTTTCTGATAATGTTGTTTCTACCACCTGGAGAAGCAGGTCGAACTGTTAGAAGCAGAACTCAAGTATTTGGTCATTTTTAGCAGTGTCTTTATCCTAAGATTCTAAAAGCACATGCCAGAAAACGAGCACGTGTCTGGCAATTTGCCGGGATGGTCACATCCAACAAGTACCAAGTTGGCAGGCACTGACAAGCCACACCATAATTTCTCAGAGCCGGTCTCCCCCTTTTGTCCTGTGCTCCTTTTCCAGAGGATTTGACTTCCTATTCACCTATCCATCCATTGATTGATTCATAAATACATAATGCCTATTATATGTTCAATAGATAATCGAAAACAGGATACAGAGTTTAAACCCCTTATCTTTCTGCTGGTATCTGATCCAGAATAGCATGTCTTCAGCCTGGCATAACAAATTTTGTGCATAATCGCTATGTTTTCCTGTTGTTGTCCCAGGTAATTGCTATAGAATACCTGTGCTTCATTACAGTCCTCCAAAAAGTACATTTTTCCCTTCTCACTTCTATTTTTGATCTATAACTTCTACAAATTTGGGGAAAAAATATGAATAAAAATATTGCTTGAAGACTATGAACTTGAGGGTCAGAGGAATTTACTTCCCCCACCACCAAGAGAAGCTGCTAAGGCTTCCTATCCTTGTTAACCTGTATCTGGAAAACAAAACAAATGAACAAAAAAAAGTGGAAGAAATTAAGATACTGGAGAAGATAGTTCAATATGAGAACATATAAACATTTTATAAGTTTATGTCTTCAAGTTATTCTTGAGCAATTCTATCACCTATGGCAAGGAAGTTCTATTATGATGACTATGGTGTCATTTCATATGGTTTGAGGCAAGTTGGCTACCGTTTCTTTGTTGCCCAGAGGCCCTAAGCAATCAGAAATCCTGAAGCAGGATTTCTGCTCCTAGTAACATACATAGAGTGCATTTTACTTAATTTTAAATGCCACTAATGTCACTGAGTTTCAAAAGTATCTGGGGATATCTGGCAAATTAATGGGGGGTTAAGGGAGATTGGAAAAGTGAAATTGCATGAGTATTTGTGGTTCTGTTTAAGAATGTGAGAAATTTGTGAGCAAATGCCTTAGTGACAGAGGGGAGAGACGGTATCTCTGTGGACTGGAGTCAGAGGCCTGTGGAATGAAGGGCTGCAGCAAACACTGAAGGTGCTGTTTTCAACGATTGTCACAGACAGTAGAGGTGCACGCAGACACCAGCACAGAGAAAAGACCATGTGGGAACACAACACAAAGGTGGCTATCTGCAAGTTCAGGAGAGAGGCCCTAGAAGAAACCAAACTGAAAGACACCTTTATCTTGGAATTCTAGCCTCCAGAAATGTGAGAAAGTAAATTGATGTTGTTTAGACCACCCTGTCTGGAATTTTGTTAAGGCAGTCCCAGCAAATTAATACAGCAGGAATTCAAGACAAAGAGACTGACTGTAGTTGACAGCTTGGTTTAGAAACATGCATGAAACAAACCTTGAAAGCATTCAGATATAAGTGAGAGAGAGCTGAGGCCCAGGAACTCCTGGACTGGATAGGTAAATAGGACAATGCCAAGAACATTTCGATTATTATTTTGAATGTAATCATTTGTAAATGTAGCTACAAACATGTACTGAACTGTGGAAAAGCACATATCATATGGGTTAAAAACGTGTACCCAACAGACCTCCTAAATTGTCATTCTGATTCTGTGTATGGTCCTGGGTAAGTTAGTTCATATTTTTGTGTCTTGGTTTCTTCATCAGTGGAGACAACAAGGCCAACCTCATAAGGGTTTTGTAGGGATTAAACGAATGTGTGTGTGTGTGTGTGTGTGTGTGTGTGTGTATATATATATATATATATATATATACATATAATTATATATAATTAAGCTGTAAGAATACAATAATGTATGTAACTGTTAGCTATCATTATTTTTATTATCATCATTATAGGCAGACACTAATCAAAGTATTAAATCAATTTTCACAAAAATTCTTAGGTGACTGAAACATGATAAGGTAAATTTAGTTACTCATGATAATACCATTTGTAAGCAGGGGACCCAAGATTTTACCTTAAGCAGTACTGACCCATAGGTTACTATGCTCCATAGAAACAAAACCATTATTTAAAAAGCATTACAAAAAATCTAAACAGATCACCAAAGAGAAGGTGAAGTTATGATTACAAGATTTACATTAATCTAAGTGACTTCCCCAAGTGACAGATTTACAATTTAAAAAACATATTCCCTTATTTTACCACTGTAGTCTGAGAAGTGAGAATGGTACTGTTTAGACAGTGTATTAAAGCAATAAGTTTCTCTTTCTTTCTAAAAACATATTATCTAATAATAATAATTAAGGAAAACATTCAATTATAAACATTTGATTGAGGTAAACAGAAATTAACAACTGTTTAGAATATATTCATAACGCTTTACCATACGCATTTTTAAAATTTTTATATTTTTGATTCTTAAAAATTTATGTAAGAAGTAGAAATATCTGAATCTCAGATTGAACAATGCATTCTAAAAAATATACTGATTACACTGTTCCCATACGCAAGTTTTTCAATTCACAAACAAGTTGTTATATTTGATGGAAGAAGGCATGTTATGTTTCCTCTGGTTTGCATATACATGGAGTGAAAAATACTTCCTCATTTTCTTTAAGTATAAAATCATACTTGCAGATAGGTGGTCTGTGAAATAGGAAAAGAGAAAGGAAAAAATAACTATTAGTAAAACAGCAAAGTTGCTTATCTTCTAAATATTCTAAATATTAGAATATTTTATGTCTGTAATCAACTAGTTCTCCAAATGCAGGGAGCTAGAACAAATTTATAGGATCATTTCCAGTCTATCTCATTGGGTTATGTTGGGATAAAGTAGATATAATGTTTATGAAAAATAAAAAATGCTCTATGTTTCACCCTCTCTCTGTTGCTTTATTGGAATACTTACAACGTATGGGAGATATTGCTGACTACTGAAATAACTGAAACTTGAACTCAACTCAATGACTAGACCACTTATTCTATTATTAATAATCACCATGGAAGAGTTGGGTTAAATTGCATAGACAAATTTTCCCAAATTATTTAATCAATTCTCTTTGCCACCTATTAGAATGAAAATAATAATATGTAAAGTAGTCTACATCTTGGAGAGATTGTGTAGTTAGTATGGGAAGGTTTCTGAGAAGTCAAGTCACTGTGGTGAATCAGGTATCTTGTCTGGTTATTTATGTTCCTGTTAATGTCTTGAAAACATTCAAAAGAGTAATTAACTATATTAAGAAAAGATTGGTAAATGTTCATATTCTCCTTAAAAGTTACTTAGGATAAGGTTTCCAGCACTAACATAGGTTCCTGTTCTCACCTGCCAGACAGGAAAAACCAGTAACTCACTGATGAAATGCATAGAAGGGTCTTGCCTCAGTAGTGGGAGTAACTAACCCTAAACTGAGCACTACTTCAGGCCTGCCTAATAAATCTTGAAAGCAGGACCTCAAAGAATCAACTTGTTTATAAGTAACTTAAACAGCATTGTGAGAATAAACCTGACAAATATTTATAGGAATACAAAAATATAAAGCACACAATGTGATAAATATACAATGCCTGGCATCTAATCAAGAATTATCAAGCATGCAAAGAAGCAGGAAAATGGACCCACATGAGGGTCAACCAATTGAAACCAACCCAGAAGTAGCACAGGTATAAGAATCAACAGGCAAGTACATTAAAAGAGCTATTATGACTGTATTCCATGTATTAAAATAGTTAACTAGAGACTTAGATAAAAAAAAAATCAAACTTCCAGAGGAGAAAATGACAATATCTGATATGAAGAATACCCTGGATGGGATTAATATCAGATTAGACATTACAAAAGAACAGAATACTGACCTTGAAGACATAGCAACAGAAACTATTCAAAATAAAATGCAAAGGAAAAATGAAATTTAAACATTAACAGGGTATCAATGAGCTGTAGGACAACTTTAAGCAGCCTAATAAACTTGAAATTAGAGCCCCCAAAGGGATAGGCGAGAGAAGGGACACAGAAAAAGATATTGCAAAACATAGTTAAAATTTTAGATGAAATTTGATGAAATCTATAAACCCACTGGTCCAAGAAGTAACCTCCAAACACAAGAGGTATGAAGAAAATTAAAAGTCACATCATAATCAAACTATTTAAAATCGGTGATGAGAAAATCTTAAAACCACCCAGAGAAAAAAAGGTATATTTTCTTTACAGAAACAAAGGGCGGATAGCAACAGATTTCTCATTAGGATCAGTGTATGGTAGAAGACAGTACAGCAACATCTTTAAAGGACTGTAAGTAAAAAACAAAACAAAACTGTCAAACTAAAATTCTATAGCCAGATAAATTATCTTTCAAAATGAAGCATCATAAAACTTTTTCAGACACAAAACTCTGAAAGAATTCATAACCAGCAGACCCCCACTACCAAAAAAATATATATTAAAGGAACTCCTTTAGTCAGAAGGTAAATTATACCGCATTAAATTATGTATCTACATAACGGTTAGCAGTGTACCAGAAATAGTAACTATGTGGATAAATATATGAATTTTCCTAATTATTTATGTCTCTTTAATAGATTGATTCTTTAAACAAAAATGACACATTGTATTATGGAGTTTTTAGCATATGTAAGTAAAAAGTATGCCAACAACAGTACAAAAGCTAGAATGCAAGAAATGGAATTCTATTACAGTACAGTTTTCATGTTATATGTAAAGTGGTAAAATTCACATGAAGGTAGAGTGTCATAAATGAAATATTATAATATAAGCCCCCAAAAAATTTCTAAATTAATTTTAAAAGAATTATAGATAATAACACACAAAAGAGATAAACAACGAGAAAAATAAGAACAAAGAAAAGATGGAACAGATAGAAAACAAAATAGCAAGATGATATATTTAAACCCAACCTTATTAATAATCACATTAAATTAAAAGATGTAAATATCCTTAATTAAATGGCAGAGTTTATCAACGTCATTTGTCATTTCAGAAATGCAAATTAAAAATACAATGAGATACCGCTACACGCCTGTTGGAACAGTGAAAATAAAATCCAAACAAACAACAAAACTGGTGAAGGTGTAGTTTTTGGTGCAGGAGTGCAGTGGAACTCTGCAAGTGGGATTGCAAAATGTACAATCACTTTGGAAAACAGTCTGGCAGTTTCTTATAAAATTAAAAATACACTTACAATATGACCCAGCAATCTCACTTACAGGTATTTATCCAAAAGAAATCAAAACTTATGTTCACATAAAAACCGTCATGCAAAAATTTATGTTGGCTTTCTTCTTAGATTGATATGAAAAACTGTGAAAAAACTGTATGTCTGCCAACAGGTGAATTTATGGATAAATGAACTGTGGTATATCAATACAATAGAATATTATCCATCTGTAATATTCCATTGATATAAGTAACAACATGGATAAATTTTAAATGTAAGAGGTCTGGCAATTAAGTTCATGAACTTGTGCTTACATTGGCAGCGCTGTACAAACGGCTCTGTAAGGTTTCATAACCTTGGTGTATCAGTGTCTCACAGCTGTGTTTGTGTCAATGTGTGGCGGTGTCTTGCTGAGTGGCATTCATTATTATTGTTGCGTTTTTTTGTGTGCTGTCACAAGAATATCTGAGCTTGAATCAGAACAACGAACAAACATTAAATTTCTTGTTAAACTTGGCAAGAGTGGAAGTGAAATAAGGGACATGTCAGTCCAAGTTCACGGGAATAATGCCATGAAGAAAACGGCAGCGTACAAATGGATTAAATATTTTCTAACAGGAGGGAACACGTCACTGATGAAGAGAGATCAGGACAACCAGTTAACGAGCAGAACTGATGAAAACATTGCAAAAATTTGTCAAATTGTGTGTCAAAAGCATTAGCTAATATGAGAAGCATAGCACATAAAGTAAACATTGATAGACAAACAGGTAGGAAAATCTTAACTGAAAATCTTGGCACGAGAAAGGTGTGTGCACAAATAGTCCCAAAGGAGCTCACCGATGAACAAAAGCAAAGGAGAGTCAAAGTTTGCCAAGACTTTTTGGAGAGGCAAGATGATGTTTTGGGCCGTGTTATCACTGGTGATGAAACATGGGTTTACCAATATGTCCCTGAAACAAAGCATCAAAGTGCACAATGGAAGTCAGCCAATTCTCCACCACCAAAAATGTCCCGTCAGTCCAAATCATCAGACAAAATGATGTTGCTAAACTTTTCTGATATCAGAGGGGTTATTCATTAAGAATTTGTACCAACTAGGGCCGGCCGAGTGGCTCAGTTGGTTAAGAGCTCGCTCAAGAGTTTGAGCTCTGAGCAACAGCGGTTCGAGTCCAGCCCGAGCTGAGCAGCCGCTGAGCTGCCAACAGGTAGCAGGATGGCTCAGCTAAAAAAAAAAAAAAAATTTGTACCAACTAGACAAACAGTTAACCAAGTTTGCTATTTGGAAGTGCTGAAAAAGCTGCGTGAAAAAGTTAGACAACAATGACCTGAACTTTTCACCAATAATTCATGGCTCTTTCATCACGACAAAGCACCAGCTTACATGGCACTGTCTGTGAGGGAGTTTTTAGCCAGTAAGCAAATAACTGTATTGGAAAACCCTCCCTACTCCTCTGATCTGGCTCCCAATGACTTCTTTCTTTACCTGATGATAAAGGGAATATTGAAAGGAGCACATTTTGATGACATTCAGGACATCAAGGGTAATACAACAACAGCTTTGATGGCCATTCCAGAAAAAGAGTCCCAAAATTGCTTTGAAGGGTGGACTAGGCGCTGGCATCAGTGCATAGCTTCCCAAGGGGAGTACTTCGAAGGTGATTGTAGTGATATTCAGCAATGAGGTATGTAGCACTTTTTCTAGGATGAATTCTTAAACTTAATTGTCAGACCTTCTTTGAAACTAAGTGAAAGAAGCCATACTGAAAAGGCTACATATTGTATGATTCCATTTATATATAATGCGCTGGAAAAAACAAAATGAGGTTCAGTGGTTGCCAGGGAGTAGGAGCGGGGAATGGGGTTGAAAATAAAGGGGGCACAGGCAGTTTCTGTGATTGATGGAAATGTCTCTTGATTGTGGTGGTTGTTACATGACTGTATGAATTCACCAAAATTCAGAGCTGGATGCCAAAAGAGTATGTTTTACTGTTAAATTTATAAAAGTAGATTTAGTCCAACTTTTCCCAGGAAATCATACCCGGTCACCTCTACTGTGAATATCCCCCTCAGTCCCTAAATTTGAAGGCCCTGCTCAACTGGCAAAACCTGAAGAACTTATGTTAAGGTCTCTATCACAGTTTGTTACTGATAGAGTGATAGTTACTGACTGAGTGCTTACACAGTTTAATCTGGGCCATAAGGCATCCTATTTTTATAACTCACATTCACAATAACTTGGCAGTGCTAATTCTCATTAATTGCACATTATCTGTATGGACAGATCTAAGTAGGAAAAGCAACTAGATGGTTATGACAATTATCTAGGTAATTAAACTTACAGCATGCATTTCATCTAAGCATCTGTTAGCATCCCGAGCCAACAGGAAATGGTAATGGTTTTGCTAAACACTCACAAAATATATTTTAGGTGTTTTTCCCTGAGTAGAAAAAAACTGCATCTAAATCGTATAAATTTAGTAAATTTTCATAATCTGTCCACTGTTTAGATTCCACATAAAAATTAAAATTGCACACATGCTTCCTTTTTGCTCTGCAGTATAACCCTACGACTTCACCCTATTTCTTACTTAACTAATGAATGAGTCGTATATAACATTTCTCTATGTAAAACATAATTTAGGAGATAATGAGTCAAATATACCAGTGATCACATCAGTCTGCCTTTCCTTTCCCCTTATAACAAGTCACTTAAAAAAGAGAAAGTCATGGAGAAAGCAATGGCTGTCTATCTGTAGGCTCACCAATACTGAGTATCAAGGTATAAACATCACATGTTGAGGTGGAAGATTTGAAAATGAATATAAAACAACAAAATTGCAGATAGTTGTCTATGCATCAATAGTCAGTGTTCATGATAAGCAAACACTGGGGAAAAAACAAAGTATCCAACAATAAAGGAAAAACTAAGTTGAATATTCCACCAAAGATGGAATATAATGGCAGCCATTACTTATAGAAAAATTGCTTATAACCAGACCCATGAGGTTGCACAGCTTCAAGTTCATTATGTTTATACTGTTATTTACGTGAACAGTGAGTCTTGAAGCTATTGCAATGAATACGCCGCATGATTCTACACAGATTTAAATGATGAGAGGAGTATCTAGCCCCGGCACTTGCCCATATACACGTAGGATGGAATAGCCTTGGTTCCTTTTACTGTCTACAGATATGGGACTAAATTTATCTTTCTCTGGTTAAGCTTGAGTGCTGTTTCATGTTCAAAGATTCTAGCTAAATTTCTGGTGTCTGGCCAAGACTTCTATGCTTACATAAGAAGGCTTACATGCTTTTTCCACAGTGTGGAGGCAACTCTCGTTCCTCTTTCCAGTTATGATATACAGGGAGAAGACTTTATTCCTGGACAATACGAATCCTTTACATCTAAATACCAGAACACAGGATGTGAAACTACAATCTCTAAACCTCTCTGCTCATACTCACCTTCTTTACATTCAGAGAGGTATTAATAGGAAAGAATAGGGATGCAACGACCCCTGGATGCTTTAAAATCTAGCTTTTGGGGACTATAAAAATACAGTTGGCCCTTGAGCAATGTGGGGGTTAGGGGTACAGATCGCCCCCACCCCGCACAGTTGAAATGTGTGTATAACTTTTGACTCCCCCAAATTTAACTACTAATAGCCTACTGTTAACTGGAAGAAAGCCTTACTGATAATACATACACTCTATTAACACATATTTTGTAGGCTATATGTATTATATACTATATTATTACATTAAAGCAAAAGAAAAATAGAAAAATCATAAAGAGAAAATAAGTACATATTATGCATTTATGACACATCTAACTTTTTTTAAAAAATTGATATTTCTAGGCTACATGGTTTGTCTGTGAAGTTCTTCAAATTGTCACAAGTCTCCAAAATTTTTCTAATATATTTATTGAACAAATTCTGTGTATAAGTGGACCCACGCAGTTCAAACCTTTAGTCCTTCACACATGACCTCCTAACCTTCCTCGCTCTCTGTCTCTCTCTCTCCAATATACTTTGGCAGGGAATAATGTTGGCTAATATTCTTAACTGCAAATATCCATGTAGTTTGGTATTTTTGTAAGTATTTCACTCAAAGGGCAAGGACAGCAAACTTACCCCTAGATTTTTTTCCATTATAATGACATCTTACTCATTGACTTTTGAATGACTAAATATTCTTATAGCAAAAGTTACAAAATAATTTATACTTCAAAGAATTTTCCCATCTCTCCTCCACTGATTTAAATAAACTTCACCTCAATGAATATTCTTATTATTTTTATTATAAAAAAATTCTTATTACTAAGTTCAACATTCATAGAAAAGCAAATAGGAAGTCAAATATATAAATACAGGAACATAAAGATGAAGTGTTGGCAACTAATTAAAGATGAGAGATTTCTAGCAATCCACAAACCCATTGCTATTGGCCCTCAGTTAATGTTATAATATCTGTCAGACAACTCACTATCCAAAATGACAGATGATCAACCTTAAAGAGCTCTTAGTGGTTTATAGTGCTTCCACAGGTGTGTTCTTGGTGGAAATATGAATTCTGCTATGGCAAACACTGTACATCCATACCATGAGGACAAGAAGAGTGGGAAAGCTTCTCTGGTTGAGAGGACATGAAACCAAGAAGAGACCATTAAATGGGCTTCGAAAAATACTGCTAGAACCTATCGTCTTTAAGAAATTGGGACTCGTCTTTAAGAAATTGGGACCCACACAGTAATGATGGTGGCATATTTTTTTGGAATGGAGATGTTTGTAACATAACTGACAAACCAAGACAGGTGACTGTAAAATTAAAGTGTAGAGTCAGATTATCCCCACGCAGTAATGTATAGATGCTAGAGCCATACTCCCGGCAGTCTAGTCTTGGGGTTGAATCTCCAGTGATCTATAGAATCTTAGGTACAGCAGATGGAAATGGACTGTTTCTCTTCTCAAATAAAGGGTAATAGAGTTAGTTGGGCAAAAGAAAAGCTCATTAAAAGTCATGATCATTTCTATCTTCTGTGACCATATATCTCATTATAGAGTTTTCAGCCATTGAACCTTATCTAAAAAGATCACATAAAAGGATTCTCAACCCCTCTGGAAATACATATGTATATATAAAAAATTATTGATAAACTTCTAAGGCAGACATTTGTCTTACTTGTTTCATTTTTGTTGTGTTTTATGAAATGACTGCATGTGTCTTTTCCTTGCTTAGATAATGTGATTCCTAATGACTCTCATCCAAAAAAAAAAAAAAAAAAAAAAAGCATTTTGTGCAATCAAGGTACTCTAATAAAATATAATTTGAAATAAAAAATAAACATATTTGAGTACATGAATTCTTAAACCACATTTTAGCAAATCATATTTTCAAGTCTAAAATATAACAAACTGAAATCAAAATTTAGTTTTCTTACCTTTCTGGAAATGTAAGCGATTTTAACATGAAACGCCGGATGTTGTATTTGCATGTGGAACACAGCCGATTTGAGCTCTGATAATATGCCAAACCAATGCTTGAAATGTTTACATCATTTAAAAATCGAGCAAGAATCTTGGTTTCTCGGTATTTATAAAATGATTTTTTCTCTCTAAACAAAAAATTGGATATGCTCAGCATATTACTAATTTGAAATATAATTTAATTCTAAAATCAAAATCATCTTAACAATGCAGGCTAGAGAGACCAACATTAAAAAAAAAGGCCAAACAATAAATATTTGTTAAAGTACTTATTAAAATAAGTTACATAGTAATTTAAAACAAAATAAAATAATATTTGTATCCTCATACACAATATTCTGGGAATACTTTTTGAAGAAAAAGTGGAACATCTTATCTTTTTGACCATGTATCTAGATTGTTCATTTGTCTAAAATTAGAGAAGTCATTTTATGCTTCTTTTTTTAGACCCCTAAACAATGATCACAGTTCCTTGAATAGACAGGGTATTCTAATAATAATCCTTTGCTGTTCTGTGCTACTTTATCAAATATTTGTGAATTAAAGGAATAGTTATAAAAGCCTGATATTCAAAAGAAAAACTAAAAGTAGTATTTAATAGTACAATTTCCTCAACATTTACAATGTACCCAGAACTGTATTAAAGCTTTATATACTTAATCTCTAATGATCTCCACAAGTCATTTATTAGGTACTATTAGTATCACCATTTTACAGATGAGAAAACTGAGTACTAGAGCATAAAAGTGCCTTTCCTAAGCAAGTGAACGCAAAGCTGTAAGGTATTTACCGTGGCAATGCACTTCACAACTCTACACAATTCCTCATCCCTGTGGGCCAGAAATGTGGGTCCCTGGAGTCATTTAGGTCAACATGTCCTGCTGACTCCAAAGGAAACTCCAAGGAGGAGGAGGAGGA